CTGAAAACGGGCAAATTAAAGAAACTGTCTTAGAATTCTTCCGGAAGCAGTACGTCTGCGATGGTTATCGCCCTGCATCCAACTCGCAAAGAGAACTAGACACAACAGCTGCCTTTTGTATAAGTACGTTTACATTTTTTTGTGTTTTTTTTTTGTTTTGTTTTTTTTTTCCTCGGTTAGAAAAACGAAAAACATAACAAGAAAGAAAAACAAAAATGACTCCTCCCCCTGTGAGTGCCTCTATTCCTGCGCGCAAAACACAGCCGTCGCTGCTGATTGGTCAGTTTGTCTGTCTGTCAGTCAGTCAGTCAGCTCACACGTTCACTCACAGGTGTCCTGGACTCCACCGTTTCTTCCCGGCTTGGCCTGGGAACGGCGGAGGGAGGAACAATGTCTCTCAGCTCCTTCCCCTCCCCCGTCACAGTGCCATGCTGCTGCTGCTGCTGCTGCTGGGCTCGCAGCTCTGCGGCCACCATCTTGCCAGCTGATGGAGTGTCTCTGGGCGCACGGCTGTCGGTTCTGTCCTCCCTGCAGGCTAGTTGTTCCTGCCTGGGCCTGGAGGTGCTCAAGTCCTGGGGCTCGTTCTCTGCCTGGATGGGCGGAGGAATAGGCGCCGGGGGCCCCCCTTGAATGGAGTGGCCAAGGGAGAGCTGGTGGGCCTGTGGGGTGAAGGTGGAAGGCTCCATCACCGGCAGGTGGTGTTGGTGATGGTGGTGATGGTGGTGAAGGTGTTTGAAGTGTTGCCCTCGCTGATCTCTCTTCTTGTGGCTCTTCGGTCCACTGCCGCCGCTCCCGCTGCTTCCGTTTCCAGGATCCTGCGCCTCCTTGTGCTTCCGGCCCGAGTGCTTGTGAAGCTTTTGTCCCATTTCTGACTCTGTTCCAGCAGGAGGTGCCGTTTGCGTTGCGGGTCGCTTTGCTACGCTCGTGCCACTGCTTGGCGCGGTCCCCTCGGTCGCGGTGCCGGCAGACCCCTCCGCCTCCTCCATGGTCTCCCGCGTCTTGCGCTTCTTGATGGGAAGTGCCTTTTCTTGCACGGGCTTGGGCGCAGACTCCTTCTGCGCTTTCTTCTTGGCTTCCGCTGTTACCATAGCAGCGGCCGCGTAGGCCACACTGGAACCCGCCCCAGCCATGGCCTGAGTGGCAGCGGCGGGCTTCCGGCCTCGCTTCTTGGGGGCGCTTTGCGGCTCCTTCTCCGCTTTCCTCTTGCGCCCCGGACGCAGTTTGGCGACGGGAACTTGCCCCGAAGGGGTCCCCGCTTCAATTTTGGGTGCCACGAAGGGCATCTTGACGAGGAGTTTCCCCGGACTCTTCTCTACAACGCGCTTCACTGCCACGCCTTCTGTGGCCTGCCGTACCTTGCCGCTTCCCTTCGGGCGGCCCCTCCCCCGTCCAGACGGCTTGACCACTTTGGGCTTCTTCGGCGGTCTCTTCTCCCTGCGGGAGGGGCTACCCCGCCCTGTGACCGTAAAGTCAAAGTCATTTGGGTCTGTGGTGGTGTCTCCCACCTTTTGGAAGTACGCCATGAGCTCCACTTTGGAACGGAAGGCTTTCCCTTCTGGGCTAGAAAAATGAATAAAAGACGTTTTACTATACATTTAAGAGGAGACGATGTACAGACATAGTAGAAAATCCCAAACAATGCAGAGCAGGAATAGAAAATCTCAAGGTCTGTGCATCATTCATGCTGTAAATCTCGCCAGACTTAAGCACCTTCTTTAATGGTGCTGACATCGAAAGCAGAAACGAACAAATGGTGTGAGAACTGGGACGCACCGGTCCACACTGACCCACAAACACCTTATCCATCACGTCAAATTAGGCAGTAGAACAATACGCTTCACAGCACTGAATTATTCAATTCAGTGCGTCTTGTAAATCTATCCCCACATAGCTCTACACGAAAACATAAATCTACCATATATCGACCAGCGCAGGTCTAATTATAGTTCCTGACTGTTGTGGATTCAGAGATACATGCAGTACTGACGCTAGTTACACAGGTTGTTTTCCATGATCTCTCCAGAGTCCACACTGTCACACAGTTTGGCCCATGTGACAACAGTGCTCTTTGCGGCTGACTGATTCAGCTCCACAGATCCAGCAGTATATTTTTGAGTAAAAATAAGTTAAAACATCTTTTACAGGGAACAAACTTAATTATGACATTTCCTGCTAAATTTAATGAACAATTTTTATGTATTTGCTGAGCTAAACGTTTCGGAAAAAAAAAACATACCATACAAAATATGAAAAGTTAAAATATAACTTTCACATGCCACATTTTGTGTTTTTTTTTTCCCCAGTATGTTAAATTCAGCAAAATAAACAGTAATTGTGCTTTGAAACATGTAGAAGTGTGTTCTCTGTAGAGGTGTGTACTTATTTTCTCTTAGAAAATCAGAAAATGCATTTTGATCGCGTGCCCAAACTTTTGCACAACACTGTAAACAATTGCCGGCCTCTGCTGGACTCAGAAAAGAGTTAGTGCCACACTACCACTACCACTACTTACTACTTACTTGATCAGGTAGACGTCAAATTTGCCAGCGGACCTCCCCGACTTCCGCTGTTTCAGTTTTCGCGTCCAGCCCTGGGGCAGCGAGGGGTCATCATACAGCGGACCCCGGTCCCGAATGATAGAACGCCGCTGCTTAGCTGAGGAAGAAGCTTCTGGAGTGCCGAGAGCCGCTTCAGCGACAGGAGCCGAGGGCTCGGACTGTCCTGCCTCCGCTCGCTGTCCGTCATCGGCCTGCGCCGGGGCCGGGGCAGTGATGGTGGGAGGCGCGGAAACGGTGGCCTCCGCTCTCTCCACATCCTGTTGCTCCTTTTTGCTCTTCTTCTGCTTCTGAGCCTTCTCTTTAGAGCCCTCCTGGTCCTCCCCCTTCCCCTCACCTCTATGGGCAGCACAACAAGAAAGAAACACTCAGAGTTACAAAGCAAAGACAACACGAGCCAAAGTCAGCCCATCTCTCAGGGGATTTTAAAGACCTTTCTCAGTTCACCAGTGCAGTGATTTTTTTTTTGTTTTTTTGCTTTTGGGCTGTGTATTGGTGGAGTTCCAGCCTTCATTTTCATATGTTCAAATGAACACGTGTTTACTTTAAATTCACGCAAAGCCACATGTAACGCCGCCCGTGTAGTCAAGGAAGTCGGACGTGCCATCAAAGCGTACAACAGAAAAGAACCTACTCAACCACAGGCCGCCCCCAGAAAACAATATGAGATGTGCAACTTCTGTATTAACTGAGAAATACTGATATTGGTTACTGCCCATAGACGTGCAGGGAAATCACCCGCAACATTCTTCCACCGCACCCTCGAGTGTGAAGATTCCCCGGCCAGTCTACTGCACCATTAATAGTGAGAGGGGTGGGATTTCCCTTGAGGCTTCTGTAGGCCCATGGATAGGCCTAAAGCCATCATCTTTTACATATACACCTTTTATTTTGCTCTCGGAAATAAGTAGCAACAAAGCCTCAAAAGTAGCTAAATCTGTCCTCTACGTATAGATACTGGTCTGAAAATGAGAGATAGGGTCAACACCTTGCTTTTTAAAAAGGGGTTTACAGTTCTGCTCACTGTGAGATGTCTTAGGCATCTCATTCCAGGACTGCTGATCTAGGACTGTCCCACTTGTTGTCCTTATAAAACTGTGTTCGTCTGATAAAATATAATCTTAGGTCAGCATTCAGCAAAGAAGTTATACATGTGACTTGGCCTAAATGTCATAATCACAAACTTCCCCATGGCTACAGCACAAATATATAAATGGACCAATCTAGCAAATTAATTCAAGCTGTAGTCCCACAGAATGATTTAATAAATAAATAAATAAATAGATAAATAATCAGATCTTCGATATTTACAAGGATTATATCATGATCTATTTAAACCCAAGGCATTATGTGAGATAGTAATGAGCTAAATATATTCAAAATCATCATTTGTAGGGTACTTTCTACTGAGAGGTGGCTGCGCCAAACCATAACCCCTAAATTTACACCTGTGTAAGTAATACTTTCCTTTTTTTGCATTTTTTCAATGTTGTTTTTTATTTAGATTAGATTTTTATTTAGATTTTTTCATTTATCCTAAAGTGAAGTTGAAAGATTTTTTATTTATCGAGTTTAGTTTTTAAATAAAAGAAAAAATATTTAATAAATGCATAATGTCACTACCGAAACACAAAGAGTTTTAGTCCATCGGAGGAGCCTTATTTTAGCGTAACCTGTATTTTAGAGCAGTAAGTGAGACTGCATCCTTGGCCCTTATATCCACATGGTGAGCAGTTAGATCCCATTGTTTTGAAGTAAATGTGTCCCAAAGTCTGAAAATCAATGTGTACATTTAGAATTGTCACTAGCGAAACACATATTTTCTGCAATTAAGTAAACATTTTGCATTTTAATGAAAAATATTGTGATTTTATGCATGTTCAACTGTTCAAAGCTGTATTTGCTAGGCATGTACTGGCTAGCGTTTTTGAGTTCTGCTCAAAATTAGCTAAAAATGTCACTACCGAAACATTTGGTAAAGTTTTGCTATGATTGAATATTCAGTTTTGTCACTACCAAAACAATCATTTGTTTTAATAAAATAAACATACTTGAGGTGTGGAGCCACTCAAAGCAAAAGCATATAGTCTGAAATCCAAGTCAGTTAAAAGTCTGAAACTCTGACTTTGAACCAGTTTGGTTTAGTGATCCATATATAAAAGAGAGAAATACTTACATCCATTTATACATAAACACCTAATGACTGAATTAAATTAGTCAGAAATAGTGTTTTAGACAAACTATTGCTGAAGATTTTCACACTTCAGTAATTAAGTATCCAGTACACAACATCTCCAGTCAAACATCGCAGAGTGACCAGAGGCTATTTACTGAGAGCTCAACACAAAAGGCTAATTTGTCTGTGTAAAAAAAAAGCTTGCAGGAAGACTAGCTGAACTACTAATATGCTGAAATTCTATCAATGTAGTCAATAAAAACATAAGTGTGGTCTGTTCCCCATGAATTTCAAATCACCTGTTTTATTGCTGACAGAGTAAAAGCCTCAATAGTGATTTTCTACAATATGCCCTGATACTATGCAGATAACGAATACACCATCTGTGCCTAAATTTCCAATATTTTCCCTCTTTAAATATTCAAAATGTGGCAAAATTACTCTAAAAAACGGGCCTATTAGGTCTGAAACCAAAATGGTTGAACAAGGTTCTCAGACAGCACAAAGGCAAATTGAATATTAATGATTAAATATTGGAGAACTCCGCAACGATGATTTTGAAGAGGATAATGGTCACAGCAGCGGAAATCTTTCCACAGTTGCTCCCCAGAGGCCAGCTCTCGAAGAGTGATATTTGATGCAAGTGTGAGGATATGGGGGCCTATTTAGGCCTGGAATACTATTTAAACTAATGTCATAAAATCTTTACCTTAAAAGGAAATTTCACCAGTTCTTCAAAATTTCTGTATAATTACATGGTTAAGATATAAACAGCGTCATTCGGAGTGGTATGATGTGAAATGCACTGTTCAAGAGAAACTTACTGAGTCAGTTTTGTTTACAATGGTGGTAATAGGAACCAGACAACTGAAGAGTTTCATTCTCTAAAAGAAAATCATTACATAAATAGGCTGCCTAATGTCTGAGACATACGTACGTGTTTAAGTCCATTCAGGGCTCAGAGGTGCATGCAGGGCGCTCTAAGGGAAAACAGATTGGCCACTGTTTTATCACTATGAACGTTACATATAAAAGCTCAGAACACACTTTTAGATTCACTGGCTATTTTGGATTATAAATAAAACAGTGTGGACATTGTGACCCCGGTTCACCACCACTGTAAAGAAAGATGAGTCTGTAAGCTTCTCTACAGTTCACATCAAACCACTCTAAATGACTTTGCTTACATCCCAACAATTGAATTATGCAGGGCTCTTGAAAAATCGGTGGAATTCTCCTTTAAGTCTTTAAGAATGCTGCTCAGTCACGCCACGTTTAGTCTTAGAAAACACACCCAGCCGGCTGCAAAGCACAAAACACTGAGATTCGGTGAAATTTATATATTTCACAAATTCATTTGTTCGCAAAAACATTTTTATGTGTCCAGGTATTCCCACAGACAACAAAAAAAACCAGCTGTGATTAAAAAAGTCGCCGCAAATCATAACTGATGTTTCAAGCCGTGATGTATCAAATATGTAAGGCATGTCCTCAAATCCTGCCACATCAAACACGAAAATCAGCCTCTCCCAAGGAATTTATTTTTTAAAGGAAATAGAAATTTCCAAACGAGTAATTTTCATAAAATTAGTAGGTGTGTAGCGTTACATGATGATGAGAACTGAAAGCGTGACAGCCTGCTGTAGTCTGAGGACCGGGAAAACACCTTGCTTTTTCCATAACGGGGCAGCCCGTCACGACATTGAAAGCTTAAAAAAAAAAAAAAGAAAATCTTTAATTGTGGCCACGTAGAACTAATAAATTACAAATATTAAAATGATTTAAGCAGGTACTGATAACAGGGTGTTGCGATTCTGCTTTGAGTGGTCTGTAATGAAGTTACTGTCTTGTTTGTGTCATTATTGTGCAACAGAGACGTCATGGTTCACTACACCGAGAGGGCAGTTCTTGTAGTAAGCCATCACAGTCTACCATCATAGAAGAAAACTGAAAGCAGACGAAAGTGTTTGCGATCATCCTGCATTGTAAAGAACCGCAGCTAGAAATGCAGATTTGTAAAAGCATTGAAGGAAAACATCCTAATTTCCGCAGACTCCGACTCGGCTTTACTCGTGCGTACTAAATAAATACTGTCACGTCTTGTGTGACTTAGCACATTAAGACCTAAAAAAACCCACATATGCACTTCCTATGGTTGTAGCAAGCATTGTGGCCAGCCATGTAACTAAAGGACAACTATGTAAACTAAAAGTGCTGTTGAAAGTAACTAAAAGTGCCTTTAAAGCAATGCTTTGTAAAGAACTGATCAAGACCACAAGCAGTCAGGATTTAAATCATGCAGTGAGCGCTGTGCAACTGTTTAAAATATTTAAAACATTTATTTTTACTGTAAGATTGCATCATTTTCACAATTCGCCATTCAAAAGACCTGTTAAAAAAAGCACACCATGTACAATCAAACAGCACACAACTTATTTAAGGGCACGTATCCTAAACTTTTCATATATTTGAAATCCATTTTGCGTGTACCAAAAACAGTCACTTTTCTCCATGTTTCTAATTTTCTATATTAATCAAACAGGCTGTTTTTTGTTACTGTGCCTACAGGACTGATATATGTGACAAATTACAGTGACAAACTACGTCAGAGTATGCTTTTCTTAGTAGATCATTTAAATCGACAATACTTAAGGATCAATTAACAGCTGTATTTTTTTTATAGCAAAGAAAGCACAAGTAGTCTTTTTAACTGGATTTAGTGCAGTGCTTAACACGTAATGTTAAATAAAAATCACTGTATTTATATTTTTTTGAGATTTGTATGTTTTTATGTGGCACTGCTGCTTTTGTTGTGTCGGTTCCAACTCAGAAAATCTCAAAATGCATATCACGTACCGTGAAACTGTCTGGAAGTATAGAGTCATATCGCCCACACTTTCGTAAATTACTTTTCTGACAACCTGCGCTGTGTCAGTCCTCATTCGAAAAGCAGTCTGGGATGAAACACTCATTATAATCGTGGATATATACATGTAAATGCATTGGTTTCTGTGACATCACAAAAACAAAACAGGCCTAGCTTCCATATAAGGACTGTAGGGATGTGAGCGACTTTAACCACACATTTCACAACTTTGTTTACACTCTCCATCCAACTTATTTACTCGAAAAAAAGTGATGAAAATGTATTTTTTCCTTGATGCGGGCTCTTCAGTGCACAACCAACAACATTACGAGACTTAGATGCAGAGTGAAACTGAGCACTTTGCAGGGTCTTTCATGCCTACGAGATGACAATCACACCGCAAATGACACGTTCGCCTAACGAATATCCTGTCCCATATTAGAAATATGCCATCACTTTCATGTGTCATCACACACGGTAAGGGATGCAGCAACACTGTCAACCTGAAATGGACACTCAATGCCTTTACTGTATACCTGCACCTCTTCTGCAATTCTGACGGCCCCAGGAAGGAAATCTTTGTGCAAACCATGCAAGAACATGTGCTGAAGGTAATGCGATGAGCACACGGTGGAAGGGTGGATTCTTGGTCAGGAGACAAATATGATGCCCAAGAAGGACGCATGCTCCCCAATACCCTCCAATGTGCTCCTCACGTTCTGCCACATGTTGTGGCCCACTTGGTTAGCCACTAACCTGCAATCCATCCCAACTGTATTATTCCAAATAAACATCACAAGCCTGTTCACATGGGAGTGCCTTGTGCACTCACACCCCAGCTCATCCTCCCAAGACAGGAAAAGCCTCTTAACTGTCAGCTGCATCCACCTCAGTAGTAATTGTAGTAGTAGTAGTGGGAGATACAATTGCATTATGCATGCTAGTTGAGCAGCAAGCTGAGCAGCAACGACCATGAAATAAGAAATAGCCAACTAACTTGCATGCATGTGCAAACTTGGATGTGGAAGCCACGAAAAAGAAAGAAGCAAAACCAGGCCCAACATGTGAGACCAGACACAAAGCTCTAAGTTTGAGGGGTTTTTGATGACTAACGCTGGCTTTAGCAAAGGCACAAAGAATAAAGAATAAAGCTGGAGCAGCTTTCTGGAACAAAAATCTCATTTCAGCCTGCAGCTGTGCAGCTGTGCAGCGTCAAAACTAGCAGGCTGGCTAGCTAACTTCCTTCCAACTACATGGTGATTGGACAAGCACTAAAACTACACACACAGAAGGAAAAGAGGCTACTTGTTTGGAAGCACAAAAAGAAGGAAAAGGGGGCACGGCGAGCCCAGCGAGGCACTAAAGTGACACAGAGGCACAGTCGAGGACGGCAGCTAGCCAAGACTGTCTTGCAAAGAGTTGTGAGTGAGGTCGGAGAACGACCCAAACACACCTCCTCCTGCTACTTAGCGGACTAGCGAGCAGCTAACAGGCGCACAAAAAGTATTTGCCCTGATCATCCATGATCTGGGAAAAGCAGAGGGGGAAATACAAGTGACGTATCCTCCTCCTCAACGCCTTTCTGGCTAGCTGGCTAACGGGCTAACACGGCTAGCTAACATTACTATTATTTTATTTATTTATTTCACAGCCCACAACAGCGGTAGCTACAATGAATACTGCGCAACAGCAGCGGCGAATTTGCGGCGCCCGACATTTGAATCAGCGGCGGTTTAACGGCGTTCAACAACAGCAATTTTGCACTTACAGTCTCTCCTCTCCGCTCTCCGCGGCGGCCATTTTTTTATATTTTATTATTTAAATAAATAAATTTCCAAAAAAATCACGCAACATCTTTGTGGGCGCCCCTCGCCCTCTCCCCACTCCCTCTTCTACACCATCTCCTCTGCGCCACATCTCGCGAGACGTGAGCGGCGGCCGAACAGCGCTCTGCGGGGGCTCTCGCGAGAACTCGCGGAAGGCAATCATCGGAGAGGAATGTCTAGGCCAAACGAGGGGGGACACTGCAATGCACATCAGAATAGCAGTCCAGCGTGCTGTTAGTGGCCCCTTTTAGCTCTGTTTTCTTCTCTGTGGCCCAAAAAAGGCTCTCAAAAATGTAAAACTGGGCTCTGCTGCTTTCCCTCCCTCTTGTAGGCCTGCTTAAAAAAATGTCTCTTCAAGGTTTCTTAGTACAGGCAATGGTTCCCTTTAGAACCGTGAGCTCTATATAGGACCATTTGCATGCTTACGTGGTTCTTTGCATGGTGAAATGGTTATCCAGATTGATGGACAATGTGTTGTATCTGGTTCTACATAGCACCGAAAAAGGGTTTGACATCATAACAGTAGAAGAATCCTTTTTGGTGCTGCATAGAACCACATACAACACATTCTCTATTGATCTGAAAAACCATGTAAGCATGAAATGGTTCTATATAGAGCTCCTGGGATTAAACAGAACCACTTGAACCCTTGAAGAACCATCTTTTTTCAGTGTGTGCCTATGCAAGATTATGCATGGTGTAACCTGCCTGAAACACTTAAGCAGATGAGCAGTAGCTAACGTGATGTTGCTGTTTTCAACTAATTATTTCCAGTTACAACAGAGCTTCACATAAGCGCTGGCTCCAGATACGCAAGAAAAACATGCAGCGGTCCAATGCAGGCTGATGGTGGTGAGCCGAAGGCCTCAAATGCTGAAAGGTTCTGCTTGATTCTGACTGTTATTGTTAACAAAAACAGCCCAAAAAACAGTCATTCAACAGTTATTTTTTGTATTTCCCATGACCTGCACTAGTAGTAATTTTCCGTTTATCAGAAGCCTCAGAAAGATTTCTTTTTCAGTTCTGTGATACAATTTTTTTATCTACTTTTACACAAATGTTCTCAAATTCAGCATTTGAGCTTTATGCCTAGCTTGGCTCACATGCTTGCCTCTAAAACCCTGACTGAAACGAGTTAGCAAAAATCAATTTATGGCATGCAAGAACATAAAAGAATTTCCAGTGGTGATTCACTCTGATTTAGTCCCAGGCTAGGCCTAATCCATGTCTGGGAAACCAGCCCATAAAGTTTAATCTAATCTGCCTTCTTAGAAGCATCACACTGCATCGATCAGTGTAAACTGGTAGAGTGAGCATCATCCACAATGCTTACTGGCTCTCATTTTAAATCTCTTTTAGGCTGTATGCTGATCATTATGTTTACAGAAGATGCCTGCATGTCCATCTGCATCCCACCAGAATACAAGGCACTCCCACTAAAAGAAAGACGACTCACCCATTGTATGACACATCCACCACAAATCACACCTCCTTGAGAAATGTCAATACAGACTACTTTTCTTGTAAATGATGCTTCAAACTACTATTGTTCTCATTATTTCATTGATCAGAGCCTCAGAGCGTTCATTTGCTTGGTCTAATCCCTGTAAAAAAGAATAGCATTACCTTTAAATCCATTTTTATCGCTGTATAATTTCAATGAATACACTGACCAAAGGGCATTGATGCTAACTAAATCAGTGATTAACAAAACAAACGATTTCATTATCTTTGAGCAAAATAATAAACAATAAATAACATTTACAAACTAATCAGCCTCAGCAGAACTAGACATTAAACATGTGTGGGGTCAGTTCTGTTAGCCTAAATGTATAAGAACACTAATTTGTTGCATATGTGAACTTAAACACTACATTTTTCCATACAAACACAGCCGGTCCCTGGTTGTAGTGACATTTCTCAAGTTCTACATGTTCTACATGACACTGTTTGTTCCTCAGATCGACCCCTATCTCTCTACATAGTGAAAAACTGGGAGTAAGGCGGTGACCTAATTAGACTCACTAGATTTACTGGAATATTGGGGCAGTAAATCCTTATGGAAAACATTTAATGTCCTATACAAACAAACATACAATGACTCTGATAACGTAGTGGTGGCTGCTAACTGCTAACCAGGGGTGTAAACGTAAAGAGAAACTGCACTTAAAGGGGAATTCCACCGAATTATCACAATTTCAGCATAATTCAGTCATTGAAATGTCAACAGAGTCATCTAGAGTGGTTTAATGTGAAACAGTTCATTGTAGAGAAGCTTACCATGTCAGATTTCTTTACAGTGGTGGTGATAGGAACCAAGGATCACAATGATACACAAAAACACAAAAATAGCCATTTTATTGATTATCTGAAACAATTAGTGAATCTACATGTTTTCTGAGTTTATGGATCATTTTTTGGTCTATTTTGCTTAAAAATGCCCTGTATGTACCTCGTTGTAATACATTTTACGCCATAACACACATATATATATATATATATATATATATATATATATATATATATTTATTTATTTATTTATTTATTTTTTAAAAAACAATGTTTCAGGCATCGGTGTATTCATAACCATTTCAAGTAACAACTTTCTGTGAGCTTTTAGTCTTTGTACACAATGCTGGGTAGTTTATTTTGTCTGTCTTTTAAGACTGTGTCCAGATTTCAAGTTATATCATAATATTAATAATTATATATATATATATATATATATATATATACACCAAATCTGATTAGTAAGGTAAGACTATGGTGGCACCTGCTAACATATCCACATTGTTTGCCATTATAAAAATGCACGCATATGTATGCTGACCAGGTAGTGGCAAAACGGAACAAATTTAATGAAAATAACTAGCTAATCATGCTATATTTCACAGCTGCGTTTCACTTTTTATTAACTACAGTATAGGCAGTGTAGGCTGACCTGGTCACCAGACTGTTAACAAGCTACAGACTATTGCAGTAACATTCAGAGACCAGCTTTAAGTTCTTTTAATGAAGCTATCACTGTAAACTAGAAAATGCAAAGTAAAAAAATGTGGCCTAAATGATGATGTTAAAAGCTTTAATCTAAAAGTTTAAATTGTCATATGTGAATAAGCACCACTGACTGTCCTGTTGCACATTCTGACGTCATGAGCCGCCACACCCCAAATGACAAAAACGCACATGAACTCTGACCTGACTAGTCAAACTGAGCGACATATCCAGAAATCTCTACAAATGTGGCCTGAATCTGATTGCAAAAGTCAGACTTCATGTTGCTTTTTGCTGTGCAGATGGAAAATCTGTCCTGACCAATCGGAAAAGCCAAAATGATGTCTGGTTACTATCACCACCATGTGAACAATTCTGATTTAGTAAGTTCTCTAGAATGAAGCATTTCACATCAAACCACTTTTGTTTATATCTCAGTGACTGTATTATGGAGAAATTTTGAAAAATTGTTGGAATCCCCCTTAATGTGAAAGTCTCACTCAGTTAAAAGTGAAACTAGGAAGCTAAAAATATACTGGAGTGAGAATCAGAAAGTATCAACATTCAAACCTACTGAAGTACACAGTAAAAAACAAAAAAACAAAATTAAAGTACGTTTTAACAAACATTAAAAGTGTTCTTCGTTTGGTGGTGTGGCAACTAATGAATGACACCGGTCCTGACCCAGAAGTTCTGTAGCTGTGGGCAGATTCATTTTACACTGATATCAATTAGGGTAGAAGTTTGCATGAGCCTGACTGATTGGCAATAGAAAAGAAAGAAAAATCTCCTGGCCTTTAAGATTTGTAACTTTGTAACAAGTGCTTTGAGGGTATTAATGAAATTGTGAGGAGTAAAAAGTTTTTTTTCTGTTGGAAAATCAAAAGGGTAAAAGTACAAATATTCAATTTTAACAATACAAATCTTCTAAAATAATTCTATATGGTTCTAAAGGGAATTAAGTACAATGACTTGTATTCCTCATTGCTGCTGACTGATTGGAGACTTAACAGCTAACAGGATATTACACATTTCAACATTTCGCAAAATCAAAATTCTGGATGTACTTTAGAGGAACATTCTGACCAAAATGAAAAATGTAACCATTGCCACATTTGTTGCAGACATGCCTATTTGCTTCCTACACTGATGCTGCAACAGCCCTGAGAGTAAGATGTTTCCATTCTGATGATGTATCTTGAAGGTGGATGGAACTTTTGAAAAACTTTTTAGAAAAAGGGCTTTGGGGCGGATAAATGAGGGCAGGCTATTTGATTTTTTTTCCACTAGCTGGCAAATGCAGAAGGAGACCAGATAACTGCTAGGAAGCTGAATATCATATCTGTATTTATAAGCCTGTACATGAGTGGTACATCAGTGGATTTCTTTATGGCTGTGGATGGGATTCCTGTTGGTTTTATGAGGTATTTGTGTAACAAATGCTGGATATTGTTGTGAGTGGACACTGATGGATGAAAACACAAAAGAAATATTCTGTGAACCCGTTGAGGCTGAGAGATGCAATTCTGCACTACAGAATACTAACACATAATATATGAAATGCTAGCTTTAGGCCGACATGCCCCTTTAAAGTTACAGTAGTCTACTTACGAAAACAAATAGAAAGAGCAGCTGGTGAGGGAAGGGTAAAAAAACACTGGAGGCCTCTACCGTTTTACAGTTGTCCTGTCTTAGAACTCCCTGGACCCAAGGTCAGACACTAAATTCAATCAAACTTTATATGAATTGTGATTGTTATTACAATTGTACAACCACTGTTATTTTTTCTATCTATTTATTCTGGTGTGCAGGGTCCGCTGCCATAGAAGCATTCATTCAGGGCCCCCAAGCTACAAGGTACCCACAAATACTGTTACATCCACATATATACATATTTTGTGATTTTGTGATATATACATATTCATATTTACATATACATATATATATATACATATTTATACTGTGTGTGTGTATATATATATATATATATATATATATATATATACACACACACACAACAGTATAAATATGTATAAATATATATTTGATGCAATAAGTGGATCAAATTGTATATGGGTTGACAAGCTGATAACAAATCTACCAAGACTGAGGAGGACTTCTCTGTGTACTGTTGCACAAACCTTTCTAATAGTAGGTCTCAATATTTTGCTGAAAGTATCAGAAGTAATGTTCCTGTTGCATCTCTGGGAACAAATGTCTTTGGTCATCTGGAAATAAACATCTGTGTCTTTTGACTTCGTGAAGGTTGGATACAGATGAGGAGAATGGATAGTTGTGGATCCATCCATTCGCCGCTGTACACTGATGTGACATCGCTGTGTTTGTTCAACAGCACATCAGAGATCCACTTCAGGTAAGAAAAGCAATTGATGTTTTCCTCTTTTCAAATTTTGTTTCATGCATGTCTTTGATTTATTATTCAATTCAGTTCAAGATTAAATTTACACAGTAATTTACCGTTGTATAAATTAGTGGGTAATGTATACAGTGGTAAACTATGGAATAAAGAAAAGAAACCAGCCTGCCATTGGACAGAAATATTAGATTAAATGATGATGACCAATGAGTGTTGTTGGAAGCCTATCAGAGTAACACATTGAGAAATAGATCTACGAAAAACAGAGATGACTTTGTTAATTTATGTTCTGCCTATGCATTTTTTTTACGTATCGCTGCTGTCGGAACAGAACCTCGTATCTCCATTTTTGTCGTTTTTCAGTTTTTGATATAATTTGAAAATGCCTGTTTGCTGTTTATATCGTGTGTAAATTTCATGATGAAGGGACCAAAAGAAACGGCCCAAAATTACTTGGAAATAAGTCTGGTTCCATTGACTTACATTAAAAGTAAAGTATGTTTTTTCCTTCTCCTGCAAAGTTACCATGTTGGAGATACGAGGTTTTGTTCTGACAGCAGTGATATATTCTTTTGACCTTATTCTCACATTGGTCAAGTTAATTTAATGTGCCGTCACCTGTTTACTTTAACTGCTGAATGCTGAACAGTTCCACCGGGTTTAACAACTTCTTCTTGAACAGAACACTGCTTGACTTCGTTTACATCTGAACAAGTAAATTATGCAGAAATTTCGAAAAATCAATGGAATTTCCCTTTAACAGATGACTTCTAATTGGTGTGTTCGAGCAAGTAAATTACCAAAGTGTGTAATTCCAGGACTGTAGTATGGAAAGTCATTTCCACCACTGGAAAAAATATATAGCCATTTAGTAAGTCATAATAATGAGAAAGTTTTCAATAATTATGACTTAGCATCTCATAATTATGACTTGCTATCTCTTAACAATGAGATTCTATCTCATAATTATGACTTAGTGTCTCATAATAATGAGAAACATTCTCACAATTATGACAAAGTAAGTCACAATTGTGACATATTCATTAAACCATAATTATGAGATACCAAACCATAATTATGACAGTCATTATTCTGTGATGCTAAGTCATAATTGTGAGATATCAAGTCATAATTAAGATTGAATCTCATTATTATGACGTTCAAAATCATAATTATGAGATATTAAGTCATGACTATGAGATGCTAAGTCATAATTGAGAAAGTGAGTCATAATTATGAGAAATTAAGTCACAGTTATGAGACACTAAGTCATAATTATGAGAAAGTAAGTCATAATTATGAGATACCAAGACACAATTTGAGACAATAAGTAATAATTCAGAAAAAAGTATGCCATAATTATGACAAAGTACACTGTTAGAAATAAAAGTTCTGTGCAGGTACATTTTTCGTTCATCAAGGTACAAACAATGTAAATGTTCCCTACATGTTCCCTACACGTACAACAGAGGTTTTAAGGTCCAATTGTAAACCTTAAAAATAAGCTTTTCCAGGTGAAAAATACATATTTATACCTTTTCATAGCCTAATGATTTAAAACAGATCAATAAAATAAAAAGCCTGGAGATGAGACGGGGTGTGTGGAGTCAGTACAGTTTACAGAATATCATTTCAGTGGATTATGGTTCAGTTATGTTCCCTGACTAAAGGTACTGAGATGTACCCTTGATGTACCACCCCAGTGACAAGAGCGGAACTGCCCCAGTGACAGTTTAGTACCCTGATTTGAAGTGTAAGTCATAATTATGAGATTCTAAGTCATAATGGAGAAGTAAGACATAATTGAGATGGAATATTATTATGAGATACAAAGTTATAATTATGAAAAAGTCACAATTATCAGAAAGTAAGTCATAGTTTTGAGAAAGCAAGTCATAATTATGAGATGCTAAGTCATAATTAAGAGAGTAAGTCATAATTATCAAAAAGTGAGTCATAATTATGAGAAATTAAGTCACAATTATGAGACACTACGTCATAATTATGAGAAGGTAAGTCATAATTATAACTAGGTAAGTCATAATTACGAGATGCTAAATCAGAATTAAGAAAGTAAGTCATAATTATCAAAAAGTAAGTCATAATTATGAGAAATTAAGTCACAATTATGGGACACTAAGTCATAATCATAAGAAAATCATAATTGAGATAGAATCTCATTATTATGAGGTACAAAGTAAGTCATAATTATGAGAAAGTAAATCATAATTATGAGACACTAAGTCATAATTAGTGAAAACTTTCTCATTATTATGAATTACTAAATGGCTGTATTTTTCCCGTGGAGGAAATTACAGCCCTGCACTAGAAAATGAGGGCGCAAGCGGTCGATTGGAGTCAGACACTGAATGACGTGTGAAAGGTAAGCGCGTGACCTAATTGGACCGGGGCGTGGCAGCGCGTGGCAGCGCGTGGCAGGTTTTTAATTACTGAAGGCCGGAGCTCGTTAGCCAGGTTTAGCCATGCGTGCAGTCGGGGTGCTGCTCATCTGTTTTAGCTGCAGTTTTCTCTGCGCCGTCGCTGCTGATAGAACTTTAGAGGAAAAAGGTCGCAATGAACTGCGGAAGCTACGCGAGCTGGCGGTGCAGCCCCGGTACGGAGAGTGCTGGACCAGAGCGCTGGAGAAGATCCACACGGGCTGCAGGGAGTTCTCCGCAGATATGCAGAGCTTGATAGCGCTGGCCTTCACCCACTGTCACCTGAGAAGGTCAGAGAGTCGCTTACCACCAGCACCAGGCCCGGTCACTGTTGATTTATATCGTTAATCGAATAATCGGCCGAATATTTTTACGATTAAACTGAGTAATCTGAGTAAAAAACAAGGCCTAACAATGAAAATTGAGTTAAATGAACAACAGCAAGACATGTCCAGCTTTTCAGAGGTTCCAGAGGACTTTGCTGGAGTAAGATAAAACTAGGAAGTCTTTAAAAAGAAAGTAAATTAAAACACAATGCTTGCATAAATGCATTTGAACAGGTCTGTCCACCAGACTGTTTCTTACCTTGAGAGTGCCCAGTAGGAGAAGGTAAAACGTGCAAACAAACTGCTAACAGAAAAACTGTATTCTTTTCTTTCATTGCTGAGTAATCGTGGGAGGCCTACATGCATCGTCATTCTCCAGCGCTTTTGTATCTATAGCTGGGTGAAGGCTGCTACAATGGTCCCTTATGCAGGTCTTAGAGTTTAGTTCCAGCCTTAATCTGACACACCTGAGGAAGTCAAAGAGTTCAGGAACGTATGAGCATTAGTGGAGAGTGATGCCTTGAAAAACACAGCTGTTTTATGTTGGTCACCTAGCAAGGTCATGCTGATTGACCATCATACCAATATTCAAAACACAACATATCACTGCTGTCGGAACAAAACCTCGTATCTCGTATTTTTGTTGGTTTTCAGTTTTTGACATCATTTGAAAATGCCTGCTGCCCTTTACACTGTGTGTACATTTCATGATGAATGGACTTAAAGAAACGGCCCAGAATGGCTTGGAAAAAGTTCTGGTTCCATTGACTTACATTAAAAGTGAAGTATTTTTTTCCTTCTCCTGTAAAGTTATCATTTTGGAGATATGAGGTTTCGACAGTAGAGGTACGCTGGTTTTGCTGGTGATCAGCATAAGTTTTCATTCTTGCTGACCTGCATACCAGCATTCAAAACACAACATATGCTAGTTTTGCTGATGACCAGTCATGCTGGTCTGTGCTGTTTTTTCTGGCATGGTTGCATAATTCAGTGTACTGACGTGCAATATTGAAACATTTGTAGTTGAAGCTGGATTTACTTTTTAGCAGCTTTGAGTTGAGTGTATTGAAATTTGATTAACCCAGTTTAGCGATGGCATGATCATAGCATGGTTTTAAAGCGGTGGCTGGGGTGGTAAAATCTGATTGGCTGCACCAGATACCACCCCAAAATTTTCGGCCACATCATTGGCTTCCACCTTTCTGTGGGACAAGTATTTGTATCTTTTAGGGGAGTCTTGACTTGCTATCGATGGAACAACTCCAACAGCTGCTAACCCCACCGGTCCCACATAAGCACTGCAAGTACGTCTGGTCTGTCCTGCTTTGCCATTAAGGGTAACCCCTGGTCACTCATTAACATTGAGAGAACAACTGCCACCCCTTTGCCACCCCTGCTAAAACTTTCTAGATCCACCACTGGGCACAGTGCCATATTTTCTTTCCCAGTGCAAATTTGGAAACACTTAGTATTGACCAGTTCTGAGTGGATATTTCTCTTTTAAAAGCTACTAAGCTTTAAAATGAGCTGTTTTTAATTGAAGTGCTCCTCTTAAGATGAGCATCGAAAAGTAGGCTATCATGCTCAAACCTCTCAAATACTCTGCTGACCCCACAGGAAGAAATACACAGCTACCATCACACTGCACAGTGTGGGTTAGTGCTATTACAGGGTAGGATCAGATTCATTCTTTTTTTCTGCTGGTGTCCTGCTGATACCGATATGTCATCAATAATTCAATTTATTGCTACCTTAATCTGACCCCAACCTAGTTTGCTAACCCAAGAATGCTGCTTTGTTCTGTGTGTATGAAAAGAGTATTTTTTTTAATACTTCCTGCACGCAGTGTGTGTCTTCTCTCTGATAAATATTTAATATTTTTCATCATAGGTCTGGCCGTAATTTTCCAGAGTGCCCCGAGGGCAGCGATGTTAAGACCTGCACCCGTGACATGGACCCTGTTGCATTTAACACCTACACTGAGTTCTTCACCCATGCCCACAGCATCTGCCATTATCTGCAGAGCGAGCAGTGGCAGAATAGAGCGGAAAACACCATCCACAGGTGCTCCAAAGAGAACAAAGGGGTGATTCTTAGATATGTATCTGCTTCGTTTTGTTATGCTTAAAATATTTAGTATTTTACTATTTATAGTATACTTGCACTAGATGTCCAGACGTTTGTAGGCACCTGCTCATCCAGCGTTTCTTCTGAAATCAAGCGTAATCAAGAGTTTGTTCGTCCTTTGCTGCAGTAACAGTCTCTATTGTTCTCGGAAGGCTTTTACACTAGATGTTGGAACATTGCTGTGAGGATTTGACTGCATTCAGCCATAAAAGCATTAGTAAGGTCAGGTACTGATGTTTTATGATCAGTTCTGGATCACTGCAGCACATCCCAAAGGTATTGGATGGAGCTCCTTCGCTCCAGAGAATGCAGTTCCACTGCTCCAAAGCTGGGGAGCTTTATACTCTTCCAGCTGATGCTTGACATTGGGTGACTTTAGGCTTATATGTGGGGACTCCAGAGCATCTAAGTCTATTGGTCAGAGCTTTTCTGTGGAGATTATACAAGCTAAGTGCGCAATTGAATGTCAGCAACCGATGCACCTTAAAGTAACTGAATTCACTCCTTATGAAGGGCTGTCTGAATACTTTTGGACTTGTAGCGCACTTTAGAGAATACCTGCATGATTTTGAGAAGCCTTTACAGCAGCTTTATGCCTTTTCAAAATGCCTGTTTGTTTAAAAAAAAAACAAACAAAAAAAAAAACTAAGTGTCTCTTTATGTGTCAGGCTGACTGAGAGTTCAGCTGGTGTGGCCGAGCAACTAGCGTCCACTCAGCGGATGGCTGAGGACCTTGTAGAGGCCCAGAGCGTGGCCCTCAAATCACAGGAAACCATCCTGCGCAACGGAGAGGAGCTCAAAAACACACTGCAGGACTCCACCAGAGGTAATTAAACAAAGTGGCTTTAAAACTGTCCAGGATCTTGTTGTAAAAGAGAATTGTGTTCTGTACTAACATACCTGGACTCAGCAATAGACTATAGAATTGGAACACAGGGGGTGTTTTAGAAACAGTCATTCAAAGCGGCTTGACGTGAAATGCTTAATTCTAAAGAAACATGGCACTCTACAGTGGTGGTGATGGGAACCAGGGGGTACAATATCCACAACACAAATAAAGGCATTTTATTTAGTATCTAAAATGGCTATTCAGCGTCCATGTCCTTGTAAATTTAGAAAACTTGTTTTTCTGGAGGGGGATACTTTGCCTTATAACAATGTGCATTTTAGACCTAAACTTCTCAGTCTTTCATCTGACTCTGTAATTTTCTCTAGAATTGAGAATTCCACATCAGAACATTCAGAATAATTTTGCATAATTTTCATAATTTTTAAAAGTTTAATTTTGCAGACATTTTGGGGAAATTCCACTTTAATGTTGACATTGCAACCAAAACACTTATATAGTAATTATAATTTAACTAAATTAAAATGTTATCCTTTATTTTTATTAAAATATTTATAAATTTTACTTAGAAAAACACCGTTAAAGTTTCTAAAATGCTAGCGTCACATTTTGAGCTAATTTAAGAAGAAAAGGTAAGTTAAAAGATTTCTTGCATTAAACTGGTGTTTTTGATTTTAATCGCCTTGACTTCTTTCCGTATATTTGGACGTGATTTTTGAAAAAAAAAAAAAAAATTTAAAAATCATTTTGTTCAGTGAAGTAAACCTGTTACCTTGCAGGCCTGAAGGACGTGTTTGCTGAGATGAGACATTCCGTACAGGAGCAGCAGGTGGCATTTGCGGAAATCTTCAGCCGCGTGGCTTTCCTCCAAAGTTTTATCATGTCAGAATCGCACACCCTCAGCTCGCTGTTCTACAACGCTCTGGGCTTCTGCGCCTCCTTTCTGCTCACGTCCACCCGACGAACTTCGGGGGCCAGGTATCTGTGCATCTCTGGGCACCAGACCGCAGACGTTTTTGTAGGGCTAAACAATACTCGACAAAAGTATTAGGTTTTTGCGATAAATATTACAGTATATTGGGGGCGGTGGAGTTACAATCTTGGAAAAATGATCAGGTAAATGATTCTTAAATAGTGTTAATTATCACTCTGATGTTGAAAAGTGGAGGGGGAATGTAGTAGTACTGCAGTACTACAGTATACTGGTTAGATTAAAATGTTACTACTAATGTTGCTATGTGACATGACAGTGGTAAAGACTCGCCTGCATAATGTTGACCAGAATTGTTTGCTGGATCAGTGCTTTGATTCATCCAAACATCCAAAACACATCTGTGATTGGTCGGGATAGTCACAGCGTTAAAAACAAACTATGCTAACGTTACCCGCTGTAGCTGAATGGCTGATCAGAGATGTTTGTCCTGTTTCAAATAGAAATGAAAAATGCAGTAGTTCCTCGACCACCTCCCGCTATCTAGTCCGTTTCATTTGAAATAGTCCACTTTGTTTTTGAGGCAGCGGACATGAAAATGGACAGACTTTTGGGGTTAGCCTCAGCCTAACGTAGACACCAGACTGATTGCCGAGCTTGTTTCCTCTCAAATCGCCTGGGGGGGAAAAAAAACAAAAAACAAAGATGGTGCTTTTAAGAGTTCTTTAGTAAAGAAAATGGTTCTATATAGAACCATGAACACTCAAAGAACTGTTTGCATCATATTTTTTGGGTAGATGGAAAATGTGCATGAATATGCTATGGAATGTTTCTATATAGAACCTTTTTAAAAAGGGTTCTTCTATGGTTACAATCTTGACACCAAAATAATAGAAGAATCCTGTTGGGTGCTATATAGAACCATTTCCAAAAAGGTTCTATATAGAACCATCTGCAGCACATTCTCCATCAATCTGAAGAACCATTTCACCATGCAGAGAACCCTTTTAACATGCAAAGAGTTCAAGCGTTCATGGTTCTATACAGGACTGTTTTCTTTACTAAAGAACCCTTGAAGAACCATCTTTTAAAGTGTATCTTAAATGGTGATTTTCTTTTAGGTGCCTCCACAGGTACCAGAGTGTAACTGCTGCACCGTTTAAGGTAGAATGGAAAATGTGAACAGAAAGGTGATGAATAACATCAGCGTCAGGAAAAATTCAGACATAAAATATTAAGCACCGTTTCTGCCAGGCCTGCGGGGCCAGTGTCACAGAGCAATATTGACAAAGGTTTATCTACAGCGGCATGCAAAAATTTGGGCACCCTTGTTAAAAATGTGTTATTGTGAACAGTAAAGTGAGCAGAAGATGAACTGATCTTCAAAAGGCATAAAGTTAAAGATGAAATATTCTTTTTAACATTTTTAAGCAAGATTAATGTAATATTTTTGTTACAATTCTAGAATGCGGAAAAGGAAAGGAGCACCATGCGAAGGTTTGGGCACCCTGAGAGATTTGAGCTCTCAGAGAGCTTTTACCATGACCCTAATTAGATTGTTAGGGCTATGGCTTATTCAGTCATCATTTGGAAAGGCCAGGTGATGCAAATTTCCGAGCTATATAAATACTCTCACTCCTCAAACCTTGTTCCAACAATCAGCAACGATGGGCTCCTCTAACTTATCAGAGTGCTAGGCAATAATTGATGCCCACAAAGCAGGAAAAAGCTATAAGAAGATAGCAAAACTATTTCAGGTAGCAGTTTCCTCCGTTCATAATGTAATTAAGAAATGGCAGTTAACATGAACGGTGAAGGTCAAGTTGAGGTCTGGAAGACCAAAAGAACTTTCTCAGAGAACTGCTCTTAGTGTTGCTAGAAAGGCAAATCAAAACCTGCGTTTGACTGCAAAAGACCTTCAGGAAGATGTAGCAGAGTGGTGGCGTACTGTTCTACTGTGCAGCGACACCTGCACAAACATGACCTTCGTGAAAGAATCATCACAAAATTCAGTGTCAGTGGACTGATGAAGTTAAATTAGAACTTTTTGGCTGCAATGAGCAAAAGTATTGGATAAAAGTTTGGATAAAAAAAATGGTGCAGAATTTCATAAAAACACCCATGCAATTGTTAAGCACTGGGTGGATTTATCAGGCTTTGGGCTTGTGTTGTTCACTGGTAGAGAGAAGAATGGATTCAATTAAATGCCAGCAAATTCTGGAAGCTGACATCACACAGTCTGTTATATTAGATAATGATCCTACCTCAAGAGACGCACGCTGAAGGTTTTGCCATGGTCCTCATGGTCCACCGACCCACACACCATTGAAAATCTGTGAATAGACCTCAAAAAAGCAGTGCATGCAAGGCAGCCTAAGAATCTCACAGAACTAGAAGGCTTTGGCATTGAAGAATGGGTGAAAATCCCTCAAACAAGAACTGAAAGACTGAAAGCCTGGCTACAAAAAGCATTCATAAGCTGTGATACATGCCAAAAGGGGATGAATATGCAGAAGGCCCAAACTTTTGCTTCAGGCCCTTTTCACTTTTTATGTATGGAAAAAATGGAAATAAAATGATAATCTTGTTTAAAATATTAAAGGTCATTTTGAATGTTAAGCCTTTTGGAAATTAGCTCATTTTTACTCACTTGGCTATTCACAATGCTAGAAATTTTGACCGGGGGTGCCCAAACTTTTGCATGCCACTGTATGTATGTATTCAGTTTTGTTTTTACTCTTTTGTGCGCATATATATATATATATATATATATATATATATATATGCGCATGTGTGTGTATATGTATGTATGTATGTAGACAAAAGTTACTTAATTCTATACACAGGTGTATAGAATTAAGCACCTAGCCATGCCTTTACAAACATTTGGGGCAAAAAATGGGTCGTCCTAAAAGGTTCACTGAATTTGAGCATAGTGCTGTAATAGGATGCCACCCTTGCAACAAATCAGTTCGCAAAATTTATTCCCTCCTAGATATTCCACAATCAACTATGAGTGATATTACTGAAAAGTGGAAGCATTTAGGAACCACAGCAACTCTGCCACGAAGTGACAGACCACGTGAAGTTACAGAGTGGGACACTGAGTGCTGAGGCACATAGTGCAAAAAAGCCGCCAACGCTCTTCTGACTTAACTGCAGAATTCAAACCTCCTCTGGCATCAACATCAGCACAAAAACTGTTCAGCTTCATGGCATGGGTTTCCATGGCCGAGCAGCTGCATGCAAGCCTGACATCACCAAGCACCATGCCAAGTGTCAGATGGAGTAGTGTAAATCACACCGCAACTGGACTCTGGAGCAGTGGAAACATATTCTGTGGAGTGACTATTCACACTTCTCTATCTGTCATTCTGATGGATGAGTCTGGGTTTGGCGAATACCAGGACAACGTTACCTGCCTGACTGCACTGTGCCAACTGTAAAGTATGGTGAAGGAGGGATGATGCTATGGGGTTGCTTTTCAGGGGTTGGCCTAGAACCCTTAGTTCCAGTGAAGGGAGATCTTAATGCTTCAGCACCAAGACATTTTGGACAATTGTACACTTCTAACTTTGTGGGAACAGTTTGGAGAAGGCCCTTTTCTGATCCAGCATGACTGAGCCCCAGTGCACAAAGCAAGGTCCATAAAGGCCTGGCTGGGTGAGTTTGGTGTGGAAGAACTTGACTGACCCACACAAAGCCCTGACCGCAACCCCATGACACACCTTTAGGATGAACTAGAACAGAAATTGTGAGGCAGGCCTCTTGTCCAGCATCAGTGTCTGACCTCACAAATGCTCTTCTGGATGAATAAGCAAAAATTCCCACACACACTCCAAAATCTTGAAGAAAGCTTCCCAGAAGAGTGGACGCTGTTATAGATGCAAAGGGGGACCAACTCCATATTAATGCCTACGGATTTAGAATGGGATGTCATGAAAGCTCCTGTATGTGTAATGTGGAGGCGTCCCAATACTTTTGTCCAGATTTTTTTGTGTGTGTGTTTGGGTAGCATTGTGTAATGGGGAGGCTCTGCAGCTGTTGTCTGGTGTCATTGGTGTTCAGAGGCCAGGTGTCATTTAGAGTTGTGACATTACATAGATGGCTTGTAATCAAAGGTCTGACCAAAATCCCAGATTGTGTAGTTTGCGTGAAAGCCTCTGTTCTTGTTAACATTAGTGAAAATGTGAAATTGACAGCTGAACAGCTTGAAGCCTTTTAGTCTTTTTATGTTCTTTTTATGAAAGCACAGAGGATCCCATCGTTCTTCCTTTCCTTTCATTATGATGGCAGATAAACTGTTTCAGCTGGACAAAAGCAGACTTTAATACTGTCACTGCCAACAGGCTGGTACCCTGGCAAGGTGAAGATGACCCTCAGATTAAAGGATTATTGTATTCTGGAAGTGGACAGTAGAGGACTAAAGTTCACCATTTTTAAAGCTCTAGCACACCATATTCAGCTCAATGAAGGCTTGACTGTAAAGCAGGATTATTAGGGCAGGTTATCATTGCCTGCCCTGCAGTACTGAATGCTAAATTGAGTGTGAAAGCTGTATTTTTTGCTGATATTTAAAAAGTAATGTCAGTTCAAAACTGCATATCGTCACTGTTAACAGAACCATGTATCACCAAAATGGTAAATTTACAGGAGAAGGCAAAAATATCCTTAACTGTTAATGTAAATTAATGTATCAAGATTATATTTAAAAAAAAAAAAAAAGTTAATTTGGATCATTGCTTTTGGTCCACTCATCTTGAAATGTTCACACAGTGCAAAGGGCAGCTGTGCTCATATGATAAATAAAAAAATAAAATAAAAAAAACTTATTTACATTTAAATGTTTTTTGTAGATTTTTCCTGTTCGGACTGGTGGCTCTGAACGTCTACCTGGAGAGGCTGATCTGTAAGATGGTGCTGGAAAACGATAATCCAGGATATCAACAAATGGTGGGTCGTCTGTAATTACAGAATATTAACAGTACTGTGCAAAAGTCTGAGACCTTCCTTCGTGTACATAATTTGACACTAAGTAAGGCAGTAAGACAGTAAGGACATGTTATTCATTTTCAGTGTCTGGAAAAAATAAAGACAATAAAAATCAAAATCATTTTTTCAGTATTTACTTTGCCTTTATTTTAGCTGCAGGGCTATTTTTCCACATCTCCAAAGTTTAGTCTTAGAAGTTGGCTGCATTTTCTGATGCACATGATCCAAATAAATCCCAAACACATTTAGTGATGTTGAGGTCTGGACTCTGGGGTGGTCAGTGGCCAGCAGCTTCTTTGTTTGTCTCCTTTGCTCAGTGAGGCTTCTTGACTGCTACTTACACTTATTTTCTTTATGCCATATCTAATCTCCTCATTCCTTCTAAATAGTTAATGCGTAATGGCTGTTTTTCATGGAAATTAAGTAAAAGAAATGTGGTCTCTGACTTTTGCACAGTGCCGTATGTGTCTGTGGTGGGTCTGCTGGATGTTCTGTTTTCCTTTGACAGTCCTGAGTAATCTCAGCACCACTAACCGCTCTTGTTGTGCAGGAGCGGATTGCTTTGCTGGTCGGCCTTCTGAGAAAAGCCATGCTTGTGATTGGCAGCTTTGTTCTGTTGTACTTTGCTGTGCGGTTTCGGAACGTTAACCGAGAAAGTCTGGAGATACTGAAGGAGCTGAAAGAGACTCGCTCTAATCTTCAGCAAGCCTTGCGGAAAGCAGGTGAGCATTTACAGTAATATATATATATATATATATTGTAAACAGCCCTAAGCAGTTTCTGGATTGCATCCTGCTGTGTTCCAGAGCGTCTTTCGGGATCCATGGAGGACTTGAAGAAACCCAGGCAAAAGCAATGGGGTGGAAAGTGGGATCAGGAAGAGGAGGGCAGTTTGGTCATTTTGCATCCCTCTGGAGCCATAGAAGCCAATTTGCCTTCATTTTCTTCCCTTCACAGCAGTAAGTAACCATATTTTTCATGCGAGTTGTAGAGGTGGCACTGATCCAATACCCAGTGTATGTACCTGATATCTAGTGTTGTAATAACAAGCAGAAAACAGAGAAAAGAAAGCATGAATTTCACTGAGTTCTGTAACAAATCTAGCCTGAAATATCACAAATGCTTTTAGCGTAACATACCATAAAGCAAAGTAGGTTATGTGATAACAGTAGCTGCGTGTAGCGTAAAAGAATGAGTAGCTGTCTAAGTAGTATACTAGAATTACAATTTATTTTAAATAGTCTAACATTTTGAATTGTATTTTTGATAATTTTAATTAATTTTCTTGGGAAAAAAATTACATGTATAAGTCAATGTTTTTTTTTTCTTCTTTTCATCCTTCATGTAGGCTAGTAAACTGTTTTGCAGTAGGTTTGACTGGTTTTAGATGGATATTAAGTGGGTGCTTAAATTTAAGTGGAATTGCACTGATTTCTCGATGTCAACACATGACGGTTAAGGTGTAAATAGGTCATTTAGAGTTTGATGTGTAATGTTTTATTGTAAAGAAACATACCAACTCCGTTTCTTTACAGTGGTGATGATGGGAACCAGGGGTTGTGATGTCTGCAGTGCCAAAGTAGCCATTTTAATTACTATCCGAAATAATGATTGAACCTACATACGTCTTCTGTGTTTTTGGATGTGATGTTGATTATATTAAAATAGTGATACATTTTTATGGGCTTTTTATAGGTACTGTTTTGCCTTCACAACACCGTGTGTGTATCTCTCCTTTATGAATCTATAAAAAAAAAAATGTTTCAAGTATACCTTTATCTCAAAACTATTGAGAGACCGTCTTGGTACATATTCTTAATCGTTTTATCTAATAGCTTTCTGTGAGTGGGCATTTAAAAGCATTAAACACCTCTGCTCCACCTCTGTGAAAAATTCTGACTTGCTAAGTTTCTCTAGAATGGAGCGTTTCACATCAGACCACTCTGAATGACTGTTTATATCTTGACCGTTTAATCATACAGAAATTGAAAATCAGTGGGATTTCTTTTCGAGTGCTTAGTCATTTTTGAAGAAACATTTATGTATCGGAAGATGCTTAAAGTTCAGTATCTGTATTGAGAAATAATAGATGGGTTTGTACCAACTCTAATAGCATAACATTAGGTAGTTCTCATTATGAGTGTTTTTGTGATTGACAGGCAGGCAGAGCGATAGCCTTGTTCCACTGGAAGCTCCGAGCTCCATAGAGATCACTAAAAGACGCCAGCGTCGTTCTTCTGGATCTCGTGCGCGCTCCTCCTCCACTCTGGTTTACAGCGTGCTGGTGGAGGACAATCAGGTAAAGGTTTAAGCTTAGAAATCAAATCTTGTATTTTGCGAGTACAAGAGATAAAAAGGGTTACTTTTGGTGTCAGAAGTCAATTTTAGTTAAAATATATAATGCAGAGTATAGAGCTATATTTAACCTGTTACAGTAAGAAGTGTGGTTTTTTTTTTTTTTGGGTTTTTTTTCTACTCTGCCTCCCTGATTCAGCTCCTCAGTGTGGGTGCATGGTGTGAATTGGCAAAGTTTTGCTCCAAACACATAGTTGGCAAACTGCCAATTTATTACTTTTATTTTGGCAGATATGTTGCAATTTCATGTTGTAAATAACCTGAGGCATGTAAGGGCACGTCACTTGTTTTTGAGTGCTGCTGCTATACCTGTAGCATAATTAGGCATTACACAAAGTAACCAGTCATCTCGTGCTACTCATGTAGCACCTGTTTAATTCATGTTATTAAAGACAACTGATTTACGGTTGTTAAACGTCAGTTTGGTCTTTTGAAGAGCATTCAATGTTATTTATATTCTGACTTTGGCTATTTGATAAAGTACTGGAAATGTGCTAGTTAACACAGTGGGGGATGAAATAAATATAAAAATAAAAATATAAAAAGTAAAAGTGTATAAAACATAAAAATTGTAGGAATTCATAAATCATAATTGGCGCATTCCTACTCATCAGCTAATAATCAAGCCGTCATTAAGTTGAACCTGGTTGTTAAAGCAGGGAAAACATAACACTGCACAGGACAGTGACGCTTCCAGCACTGGCACTGTGAACATGCTGTAGAGCAATAAGAAATTTGTATAAAGGTTAGAACAGTCTCCGTTTTTTTTGTTCATATTAACAAATTAATTTTGTTTTTACAGGTTTCGCTAGATATGAGTTTTAGAAACAGAAGCTATAGCAACGTGAACCTTTCACTGCCCATCATGTTATATTTTGGCCGTAAACTAAAACCCAATGCACTTGAAATTTAGTACAATTGATGCATTATAATTCAAGATTCCTGAATTTTGTGCCAATTTCAGTTTTATCTGCCTGCACGTTCTGAAAAGTTCCTGCCTAATTCCCAGGTATTTGAGGAATTCACTAAGGCACTGCTTTTAAACATCACTCTAAAAAGTCATGTGTTAAATAACACACTTGTCTTACCCATTTTAAAGCTTTCTGTTTCATATTGTCATCTGATTTAACACATTCTATGTGAAAATTAACACAGTGTGTTATCTGAAAGTGGGCGTAAAAATATTTCAACACATTCTGTGTCAAAAGTAACTCTGTGTGTCTCCAACTGAACACACTGATGTGTCTAGTTAGAGACAGAATGTGTTTAACACCTGTTTTAAGTGTTCCTTTCAGCTTATGGATCAGTTTTCATTTACTTTGAGTGTCCATCATAATCTGTACTCCCCTTCTAAGCTTCATACTTTGTCTTTATTGTTTTAGCTTTGCATTTCACCTGATCTAAATGCATTAATTTGCTGATAAAGTTTAATTACTGCTCCACAGCCGAGGTACAGCCTGAGGAGCAGGAAATCCTTATGTGCTTCGGATCTAAAAGGAGAAAGACACTGAAACGGCTCACATTAGGAGTCCTGGTGTGTGTTTTTTGGGAGTATCCTTCCAGTTAACTTTATTTTACTGTAGACCCTGGTTTACCATTATGATCATTATAGGACTTCAAACACTGGGTTGGTTTTTATGTACATTGTATTTATGAATGTAGATGACTTTAATAAATGTCATTTTTAAATAACCATTTGAAATCAGGGGTACGACAATAAACAGTCTTGCTGTTTGCGTACCGCACTGATGACCTGACTCATTGCACTCCTTCAGCAATACTGCCACCTTCTGGTCAAATAACATCACTTTTTTTCCTACTGCTGCATAAACTTAAGTCAACCACTGTCCAAGTAAGACTGTACTTTAGCACTGAAGACCCATAAATTTAGTGATTAGTGATGCAGGCTGGGTTGTACGGAGGCCTGCTGGTGACATCCTGTATAAATAAAAATAATGCGTGGCCACGACTTAGTAAGACGTGGGAACGAGATCCTAATGCGTGGCCACGACTTAGTAAGCCGTGATCTTGTTCCCACGCTTTACTAAGTCGTTGCCACGCATTAGGATCTCGTTCCCACACATTAATAAGGCGTGGCCACGCATTATTTTTATTTATACAGGATGTCACCAGCGGGGCTCCGTAGGGTTGGGTTGTTTCGTTCATTTCTATATTTCTTCTTCTCATTCTTAAACCAAAGAAGTATGAGGTGTCATTTTTGAGTCCTAATAGCTAAGAGTGTGATGATTTTAATACCGTCTTGAAAAATAACAGAATTGCAAAAAAAGATCATTTGAAACAACCTTGGTCTCTCTAAATGGACTCTCAATTTGCCATCTCTAACTCAAATCGCTGTCAGTAGGCATCTGTGAAGTTGTTGTCATTCTGTATTCAACGTCATGCCCGTATGAGGAGCCCAGTCAGTTTTTCTCTATGAGGAAAATGAATGGCGTTTTTGAAAATGGCCTGTATTTCTCTGTTTCACGCTGAGGTAAAGAAAAATGCTGTAAGCCTGATATTATTATTATTAATAATAATAATAATAATAATAATAATAATATTTTATTTTTTATTTATTTATTTATTTATTTTTGTCCATTTTCCACTGAGTGTCACAAAATCCTCTGATTTGTAAGGGTGTTAAGGTGTGTATAATGCTGTATTTACTTATGCCAATTTGAGTGTGGGGGGGGTGGGGACATCCATCCACACACACACACACACACAATTTTATTTATTTTTGTTATTTAAATAGATATATATGGGTCGCTGGATACATACATAACCTCTTCTGGAGTTGTTTTTTGACCATTTTACTCTTATCATATTATTATTATTATTGGGGTATTTTACAAAATTATTTAATATAATTTACTGTAATACGCAGGAAAAAAGCCATTGTAATAGGAAGCACAAATTGCTCCAGAATGACTATGATAATACTGTTTTTGTATTATTTGAATTATTGGTATCATTATTATAGAAAGATAGAAAGATTTCAACCACTGCCCCTTATAACTCAGATGACACTTGAAAACAAGGGGTGTGGGTAAGAATAAGAAATGGGATTGGGCCTTAGAGTTCCTTATAAAGTCATATGCAAACGTTTGGGCGCCCTGGTCAGATAACGTGTTGATTTTCCAAAAAAGGTAACAAATGCAGAGAATACACGCCTGCTCATTTTGACTGCATCAAGTATAACAGTGACTAGAGTGATGACACGACTTCAGAGGTCTGTGATTAAAACCTAGTCATCTGGGTTCATCCCATCACAGTACAGGGGGCAGGGCTTGTGCGAATGCCTGCAGCCACACTCAAATGAATGTGTTTTTTTTTGGGTGGGGCTTATTTTTTTTTAACAAAAATAAAATCAAAACATATCAT